TTAAGAACAAAGCAGATGATCGCTATCTGCGGGCAGAAGAAGGTGCAGGGACCGTCCGTCGAATGACGGCCCGGAGACGAAGGAAATGACGTCACATTATTATAGTTACGGGTCTTAGTAACTGGTCGCGGTTGACAAGCCAAGCGTCTACTGTACTCTTTCGATCCCTTTTTATATCCTTTTTTCGTTGTACCGCAATGTCCGCTTCATTCTTCCCTCAATGGCTCACCCTTTATGGCTGAATCTTTGTCATTGGAGATTTTACTCTTTCATGATTTGGAAGTTCCGATTGTTCATAACAATCGAGCGAATAGGTTTTTTTAGTAAATACAAGTAAATGATAATTTTACCCAGGATCAGAATTAGCGATTAAAGATTAAAACAATTTGTGCTATATTTTAAATTTTACTTAAGGAAATTACTTAAGAAAGATTATTGATAATGTAATTACTACTATTGGTATGAAATTTAAATTTGAGGAAATATATTTATATCCGTGAATTAAAGTATTTAAAAATTATTTTCAAGAAATGAAGTTTCTTATCAACTAAAGAAATATTCAAACGATTTTTTATTGTTTCTTTTTTGGATGTTAGTTGAGGTAACTCTCTATGCTATTTAATATGTAAACTCATGTTTATAAAATAATTTTATAGAAGTACCTTTTCATAAAATAAATTGTATAGTATAATTATTAAGGTTCGTATTTACAGGAGATATTAAATTTTATATATGAAATGCTTTTTATTTGATGCAATTATTTTAAATTATGTTTTGTTGATGATACACCAGTGAGGTCACTTAAAAAATATAATTAACAAGGTAATAAAAATGATTCATGGTCCACGCACATCGTCGAATAATATACGGCCATGAATCCGTCATTGAAATGTGACGGTAATTAAAAAAGTGACTAAAACTGTATACCTTTCATTCAGTAACATTTCAACTGTTACATTTCTATGTGTCCCAGGCTTTTTAAATAAAATAAATACGAACAGTGCATCTGGAATATACGGAGTTAAAAGGGAGAGACTTTTTTAGGAAATTTTGTATGAAAAATTTTACTTTACATGTATTTCAGCGTCAGTTTTCTGTTAACTGACAGCTTCGTGTAGGATTTCTCTTCGAATTTTGATGTGGATTTAATCGTACGTTTACTAAATAGCTAAATGTAACATTCACTCTTATAAACGAAATCTAACAGAGTATTCATTCCAGCCTTTGGACAGGAGAAACCTTACAACGAGATAAATTTGTTATTTAATGGTTTTGCTTAATTATTAGAAGAAAATTTTTATCAATTTCCTGAACTTCAAAGCAAAACAAATGTACCTCTTAAAAAGCAGTTCGAATTTTTAAAAATTCATAGTCCATGTGTATTGACACAATCACTGTGTGTATTATAAATAAAAATAAAGGCAATAAGGGAGCCATAAATAGAATATGTAATTATTAATATTCTCTTTAATTATATTTTATAACAATTTATTTCTTGCAATAGAAAAAATTATTATTTTGTACATATAATCAAATTATTATTCAATTCAATTCATAAATTCAATTATTACTAACAAGTAATCACTGTATTTAATAAATACTGTAATTAATAACAATCGATAGTACCAATAACATTCTAATAATACTTAATTGTTAGTTTCTTCGTATATCCTTTACAATATTCAAGTAAAACTATTCATCTTTAATATCATGCCAGATATTTCACACTTCCAAGATATCAATAATCACGAAACAAGAAAACTGGGCCTTGCCATTTTGACGGGTGTGGTAGTTCTAGTATTAATCCAATAACATTTCACAAAAGATTTTCTCAAGAACACAGAATTAGTAGTTGGACTATTATCCTGAGCCGCTCAAGTCACTCATAGAATCAGTGAACTGTGTTTGATATGTATATACGTCATCTTAAAGTTTGAAACTATGCTAATTCTTTCAACGATGAATTCATTATTTATTCAGATAAATATGTAATTCTTTTTCTTTTTGCTTTGGTTTTGCATTAAAATATACCCTAGGTGCATTCGTCCTGTGTTTGACGAGTACACATTTCATTTTTTCATTTCATTGCACGCGAAACGAGAGATTTTTCAAATTAATTCCACAGTTAACGGGTTAAAGAACGATAACAGATTGTTCACGCAGTGGTTTAGAAATGATCCATGCATTTCGTCGAATATCAAGCAAGTCGCGTCAAGTTTACGGTTTCCCTAAACCACACACGGTCTGACAAATCACCTGTGCGAGAGGTCGAAGACAAGCATGCCCACTTGCGAACATATGGGCCGTGCTCGTCGATTTTGGGTACATCTGTACGTGGGTCGTTAGCTACGTGTACACGAGCCAAGAACAAGATGCCATATATGCGTTCGGTCGGCGCGCGCGAGTACTACCTACGTGGGCCAAAGAAGAAACGCGATACAACACCGCCTTAACCAGCTCGGGCATTTCAAGATTACGGGACTGGCAAGGACTCTCGCGATCGTGCACGCTGTGAATGCAGTTAGGTAATCGTAACTGGTATCTCTACCACAATTCTCCAGTCAATCGATTTTTCGCGATTTTCCTCTAGTCCTCCGTTACATCCTACCCCATTAAACACTCTATATATTCGTAATAACTATTATTATTATTATTATTATTATTATCATCATCATCATCAACATCATTATTATTATTATTATGTAACTGTTTTTAATCACGAGCTTTGTTCACCTTTTTTAGGAACTATTGAACTAAGATCGACTTGATTCCTGTTATTTGAAAAGAGACTAACGAAACGTTAAATTTTAGTATATTTACATAAAAACTTCGGATAGAGTATTCTAAAGTTCAATGTTTCAGATTTTATCCCTTTGCGGTCGAATTCCGCCATAATAGAGACTTCGACCTTTGAAATCTAAATTGGAAGGCTGCAAATGAATAATTTAATTATTCAAATAATGAGATATTGATATGTAGTTTTATTTTTCCTAGTATTTAAGGCTTCGATGCATACCTCGGTTTTTTAATGAAAATAGTTTTCAAAAGTTTAAAAAATTCCCGCCTGGAAAGGGTTAATAGTGTGATCTATGAATCCGAGTAAAAACAATATTATATAAATATAGGCCTACGTACGTTCCATTCACCATTTAAAGGAAAGTACAGAAATACTGTTACAGGTATTATACCGGTTTCACACAAGCGATTATTATGTCACCTGGGAAGCATGAAAAATGCACGACAGCGTACGGATGAGAGAATCCGCTTGCAATATGAAAAAATCACGTAGCTGTTAAATTCCTCTCACTATTATTTTAATACATATAATACTATACCGTGTTTTATATTTACACTATTACAATTTATATTTCTTGTGCTTTATACTCTTAGTATTATATTTATGCTAAATATTTTTTAATATTTAGAATGATTGAATCTGGTCATCATAACATTTTTCTTATCTTGATTGATAGAGCAAATTTTCAAGCATTATTTATTCAATTTCGGTACCCTTTGAAAAAGTTTATTCAACTATGAACCTTCGAAGTAATGGCAAAGCATCTTCGATTAACAATAAGCTGTAAACGTTTATATAAATTTATATTTTTATATATTTATTTTTAAAAATTTGCGAGTAAAGTATATTATTTTTTTGACGGTTCTATTAAATTAAAGATATTAAGAGTTTATTGGATTCCACATTATACATGGATTACGTCCATAATTTAAACCGTATTATTATTATTACGTGAAAAAATAAAGGCTAAACCGAAACTATAATTTTAAAGGGAGCAGAGTAAAATAGATATATCAAAACAGAATTTCTAAATAGGGGTCACGGAACTTATAATTTAATATGTTTTTAGTATACCTACTTTTGTCAATGTATCAAGACTTCCTGGCTACAAGTAAGAAACCGTTTTAATAACATGTACCGCAAAAAGTATATTGATCCAGTGCGACCATCTTCTCTGTTCCTTAAATCACCAGATGTTGCACTGTTATACCGTGTAGATATAAGAAAGTAACAATTGAAACTAGGAAAATAAAGTGCAGTACCTCGTGTGTAGCTGTTATTTTTATTGTAATGTAGTTGAAAGTTTTAGTCGTCTATTGCAAACATAAATATGCGAACCACGATATACTAATAAATGTCATAAAGTTTGGTACATTTATTATCTTATTTTTAAGTGTAATCAAAACTTTAGTAACAGAAGTTAAAATGGAATTAATATGTTCCTAGATCATTTTAGATTCATATATTATGAATATTATAGTTCTATAATTGTGCTTACGTTACACCGCAATTCGAAATATTATTTAATAATAATTTATATCTTAACTTTTTGTTAAATAGTGCTTGTTTTTATTACTTTATAAAACTATTATTTAAGCGTGTAAGGGTATTAGAAATATGATAAACTGTCATTATCATAAAGGATGAAGATAGAAACTGAATAATGGGGAATTACTATTGATAATTCAGTAAGTGGAATTTGTTACATGGTCATGAAATTTGTAACTGAAAGGAAATTTGGAAAGGCAAGGAAAAATGTAATAAGAAAAATTAAATAAAAAAATACATAAAAGATGTAAATGAAAATGCTTAATAAGGGAGATTCAGTGAAATATAGGGCTAGTATTATACCTAATCCAGCTTAGTTATAACTAGGCAACGAGTTTTATGCACCTATAAAACTCAATGACATAAAAAATTTTATTGAAATTTATAAAGTTTTTATATTACCAATGTGATAGTGAAACCCGTAATAAAAGAAATGAATTGATGTATCAACCTGGATTTTCCTAAACTAGCGCATAAACATTAAACATATCTGAAATTTAAAATTATTGTTTATACTATAATATTAACATGGTAATGAAATACATAATGAAAGGAAAAAGTTTCTATTTCAACCTCAGTTTTTCTGAACAAGTTCATAAACATTTGATTTACATGAAAATCCGTAGTATAATTGAAACTTGCTTCAGAGACATACCTGCAGCAATTCGAGACGAGAAGAGGCCTGTGGTGCTGTCATGGTTGATTAAACGCCGATCGTTCTGCGACCACTCGACGGGTGATGCTCCGTATTTCTGAAACAAATTCAACGAATTGAATAAAATCTATAAAATTAATGAAATCGACAAATTCAACGAATTCAATAAAATCAATAAAATTAGCAAATTCAACAAATTTAATCAATTCAAATGGAACATATTATCCATTCAAGTGAAATCATTGAAACAAAGTTAACAAATTCAAATAGAACACATTTTTCATTTAAATAAAACAAATTCAACAGATTCAAATAGGACGTATTTTTCATTGAAATGATACAAATTCTAAAGCAAGAAGAAATAGAATTCCAAAAGATTTCTGTACTTGATTTCGATCGAAGCGCAATTTTATAAATGAATTGGCTATGTTGAAACATCTTGGTAATGACGCTTTTTAAACAGGATTTCTGACATGTACGATAAAGTACCGGTATCTGAACGCCATTACTTTGGATACAGTCTGTTGCGTTCGGGTGCACGCAAATCTGGACACTGAATGCTCGTACGTTCGTTCGGACGAACTTCATTATAAGAATATTTCGTAAGATGAAGTAGAACTAGAATATCTAGGCAATTTTTTTAATAATGCCATAATATCGAAACAAAAACATAATGGGAAAATATTTAAACGTATTTAATAAAGCATTATTACAATTCGGAGTATTCAAACATAAGATTTAATTTGGTTTATATAATGTTGTATAAGAAGAATTAAAAACATTTTTATAACTGGTCAACCATATTTCTAATTTCAGTATCATTTAGAATTATTTGGAAGTTTATGTTAATGTTTTAACACGTGTGTCAACTAACGTTTACACATTGGATCATGCGCATTCGAGATAAACATTAAAGTTCTTCTAAATTTGTTTGTTCCACAGAAATATGTGCATAAATTTTAATTAGGAACAGTATAGTTGTTGTAAATGAAAAAAAACGCGATAAGAATTTTTTGCTTCTCATAGTGAGAACTATAAAGTTTTATAGTCATCTTTTTAGCACCCTGTATATTCAACCCAGTTCTCGTATTATGTAGAATGTAAGAATAATCTGACTATCTCCAGGGTCAAGTACTTCGAGAATAGGAAGAAGACGAGCAGAAATATGGCTGCATAAACATACATGTATACTGTCTTTGTTTACATTTGCAAGTTGTTATTTTAACGCAAAATTAAGAAATTATTTTTCATTGTCCTTTTAAAAATAAAACAGTTTTCGTAAATCCCTTAAAAAATATAAGTAACATATAAAAATACTGAAAATAATACATTATCTTCATACACTATATCCAACATTTCGAAATTTATAATTGAAATAGTATTTTTTCAACAATTGCAGAAGATACAACAGAAATTTGAAATTAATCATTTTAACCCATTTGGCAGTCCTAATATTAACACAATACTACACTGCGTAAATCAGTACGTTCGGAATGAAACATTTGTACTCCTTTCAGTTAGAATGTATAAAACCTTATTTTCGATTGTTTAGCAACCTGTATATAACCGAGTTCTCTGATTGTATAGCATCTAAACAATGCAATTTGCAATATTCGCTGAATATTCCAATCATTTATGGGGTCAAACACTTGAATGACCCTAGACGAAGAAGGAAAAGAGGAAAACGATCAGAACAAGGAAACGTAATTGCGTCAAAGTTGAATGCGCCCACACGCCGTCGATCCACCCACCGCAGAAAACATTGGATCTCTATCCGGAATAAACGGCCGAAAGAGAAACAACGGTTTGATACCTCTGATCCTTTCGCCCACGAGGCTATCCTTTCTACGTCCTCTGCATCCGTCAATTATAATATTTGGCGGCTACTAAATGCGTCAAAATTCTACGTCGCTATACATAATCGAATCCTCGCCTACTCGGACCACTTTTTTTGTAGTTCTTAAAATGTTTAATATGAATTCAGGCGGTGATGATGCACGAATCGCAAAATAATACTTTTTAGAATCATTCTTTTAAATTAAAGTTTTGTCTGTGTTTTCAACTTATTCAACAATGGACTATTTATTTCTTTAGACAAACATGTAATTCTTCGTTTCCCTTTAGTTTTTCGTTCGAATATGTTATAAGTGTATTTGGGTTGCATTTAACGAGTATACATTTCATTATTTGATTTTATTGCGCGCATGATAAGAGATTTTTGAAACTAAATTTCACGCTTAGCAGATTAACACCAGAACAAACGCAATCGCCATGATGACAGGTTTCTTATTTTTATTCATATTATTATTTATATCTTAAAATCATTAAATATTCGAAACAATTTGAAAAAAGGTTCACTTCAATACTGTAATTAATATATGAAGAAACCCCCCAAAAAGCTGTTATTACAATGTTTATAAGGATTACATATTAATCATAATAAAAGCTCGGATGATCTAGTGTTCAGCAATTCTGATCTCTGTTGAGATTATGATACGTTTAATAAAAAAATAAAGCATACGACAGCACTTGAAAAATGTGATTAAATTATTTAAACACAATTTTTTACTTAATTCGTCGAATTTGTGGGAAGATTTTAGTACTACCATTGCTAATTCATTATTTCTGAAAAATTATGGAAATGGATCGTTAACATTCAATACGTTTAATATTCATTGTAGATTTTTATTACAAAAATCGCTGCTTGTTATAATTCGTTGAACATCGAATTTTAGTAGTAATTTGAAAATAATAGAGCATATGTTATAATTCATAATCAATATTTCGAGAATAATATATCAATAATTTTTATTCATAAAAAGTACGATAAAGTATTTTTATAAAGAAAATATGTACACAGTGATATAATTAAAAGTAATACCTAATACATAGCTATTGAACAACAAATCAAAACTACAAATTCGATGTTAGTTTTAACAATAAGTGTTCGAATAAAACAGAAAATGAAGTCATTTAGATTCGGGTGTACGTTGCATCCGTCCTTGACGATGCTCCTTACAGGAAATTATTAACTCGATATCGTTAGTCGTTGCAATAGAGTTTTTAGGCCATCAGCTATCCATGAGTCACGTTCCATGACGTAATCCTGACTGTCTTTTATGGTTAAGAACCGAGTGACACGACTTCTTCACCGCTCGTTTTCAATATTCCTCGAGCGTTGGAAACTCGTTCAAGTCATCAGAGATAGAATTAGAGCTCCTCGAGTCGTTGAGGGTGATAATAGCTCACGTATGCTCAGACAAATAATTTTAAATGCTCCGCGTTTCTGCCTTAGTGTCCATTCATTTTGATAATTAGTTCTGATTATCCTGACAGGAATTGTAAATAAACGAAACCTGAGTGGGTAAATAATTAGAACAGATTAGCTCGGTATCGTTACCACATTGATACAAGATATCACATTGTAATTAAATTTAATTATAATTCTATATAACCATTGACTAACGTTAATAAGCAAAACAGTTCCAATAATTATCTGTCACTCGTATTCACATGTAATCAATTGTAATTAATTTTGCGTATTTCACTCTGTTCTTGCGAAGTAAAAGAATGTATATTTATTCAATTAATGTTTCTCGGGGAGTATATATGTATATTGTAAACAAAAACATTTGTTATTTAGGTAAAAGGTTTCAGGCAGTGAGAAAATAAACTGTTTTTTTTTAATTTTCTAAAATAAATATGACAATTTTAATACTGAAAGGAAAATTATATTTTTTTGTATGGGCAACTGGTTTGTTTGTTCCAGAATTACGATAAAATTCTGGCATATTACATTTTTTATATTCGACAAAATTTGGAAATAATATCTTTCAAATTATTAGATGATATTGAATTTTGTAATGATTTAACAATGTACCTATTGTACATACGATGCATATTCAGTAACGTTGAAAAGGCTCAATTATTTATTCACAATTCTACCAAAATAAGGTAGAAAGTATAATTAAGTCTGGTACCCCCCAAAAAAGAAACTATGTACGACAAATAATCGCGTCAATTTAGGGACGTTAGTATGTTAGACATTATTTTCTGAACAAAGAAATTTAATGACTTCACAGGGATTTATGAACTAATTTGGTTTTATACAAACGATTTTAATTATCCCGCCGTTTATCCGTGGACTTTCACATTCTTTCGTGAATATAATTGAAGAATGCATCCGTGAAAGTGAGAATATCATTTCATTGCCAATAGAAATGAGTATAAAATCGTTTTATTTAACTACTTCCAACGAAGTCATTTTAATAGTAGCAGGCAATTAGACTGATTTATTTCCAACTTTTCATCCAAAGTAGAATAACAAGTTCCTTGAGATTCGAAGGGTCTCCTAGACTTGTATCTGTACATGTACACAAGTTTGATTAAAAATCTTTCGCAAAAACGGCTTCATAATTTAAATACTTATCAAAATAAAAATTCGGAAGTGGGTCAATTTGACCTGTCCGACAGTTTTAGTGTTAATAGAAGCATTCCAAATTTTTTAATACACTATAGAAGGCAATGGATTAATTCATAATAATAATTGAAACTAATAAATAAAATTCAAAGAAATATTATATCACAATTAATTTCTGACTTGTAAAGATTATAGAACCAGTTTCGTCTAAAGAAATAAAATCTGAATTGAATTCCAAACTTTGTGCAGTTGCGAAGATACATTTCAATTGTTGTAATTAATTCTTGAATTGTTACGAATATATATGTTTAAAGTTTAATGTTGACCGAAACCACCGTTTTTAAATCTAGCCGACTAAACCAGAACGTCTGCTGACCCAGGTATTCAACAGTGTCCGCGTCTTTTTATTGCTGGGATTATTTATAGTTTTACTAAAACTTACTTCTCTAGTATTACCATACGGTACTCCCATGAGTTTGGCTACCTCAGGTACACGGTTTCATTTCTATAATTAAACGTGGAATACGCTGCCATTTCCGATGGAATTTGGCGCTTCTTTGAGCTTCATTCTCAGGTGTGCCGAGAATATTAATCCTTTGCGGACAAAATGTCACGAAATAACTACAGCCGAATAATTTTATAGGAATGGTGGCGCCCCCTAATGATAGTAAATGAAT